AACATGGAGAAGCTGTGATCCCAAAACGGTGAATTTTGTACCGATTGGTTCGAAACTCTAACACTTGATTAAATTGTCTCGATAAATGTGCCTTATCCCCTGTAAATCCTCATGAAAATTTGCTGTGCACTGTCAAGCAAAAGGAGATTGCTCAAGGATTGTTGGCTTCTTCCTTCAGAGGTACAGAAAATCGAGCCTGATTTGAAGTTGAGAGGAGATCAAAATGGCGGATGAGCTGGGCTTGTGGTGTAATTTACCCTGGAAAGCCAGACAGCTCTCCAAATGAGATATTTTCCAACATAGAAATCCCAAAATTGAGCGGCAGGGTTGTTTTTTAAATGGAAGTTTCTCCAGACACCCAAATAAATGCCTCGACTCACAGAAAAATGTTTTTTATGTGATGCAGTCTAGTTTATGGAGTTCAGATTGTTGTCTGGGAAAATTAGGAAAACCCCATTAAATATTGTTGAATATTGGGTTGATGGGATTGGCTGGTTAAAAGAAAACATTCTCTCTATGAACATCTTGGGCTCTGGGATCTAATATCAGGTATAATTATCAAGATTGGTGACTAGAGAGATGAAGATTTAGCCAAATGTCCGATATCTGATGATGGATAAACTGGCTGGCTGTTCTGACTTGTCCTGTTGCTCCTAAAGAACGGTCATATAAAACATAAAAATGTTTTGTCTGAGTAGACACTCTAAAACAGAGCTCTGGTATTATATAAGACTAAATGATCCTGGAGTTGATATTTTAAACCATCTCTTCCACTTTACCGTAATAGTTTGCACAACTAGCAACATTGAAAGAGAAATTTAGGTTTGAACACAACAAAGATGGTAGATCTTCACTTTAATTTGGAAAATGTAACCTAGATTCAGATCACAGTTAGCCTGTTTGACTGCCAATAAGCATTAAGACATGTCACAGGGTGGTCTGTTGGCTGAGCAGCAAATAGGAGACCAATTGGTCTGCTGCTGTTTCTTTAACTTCAGAGGCATTATTATTCAGGCATTATCTTAACTTTCAATTATCAGTCTAATTTTTAGCTTAGATATTTAGCCTAAAACCCATTTCTAAGTTATGAATAAATAATGGTGGATTTTACAAAACTCATCCTCAGCCCCATTTGGAATTAAACCCATAAAACAGTTCAATGACTCAGCTGCACGTCACCGTAAATGTGAATGCGCCTTCAGTCGGCTCCAAAACCTTAATAAACTGTACTTGTTGGGGAGATATGTTTACCTGTTAAATTGCTTTTCTTTTAGCAACGCTGCTTTAATTGATGTCGTTTCTTCTCTCTTTCTTTTTTCTTTTTTCTCTTAAAGCTGTGTAGGCGAATCTGTTACTTGAATGGAGTCTCAGCCAGTTGGTAGGTGGTCCTTTTAATGTGTCCCTGGCTAGTTTGCATTCAGATCGCTAAACTAAAGCAGACAGAAAAGTCCCAGGTCACCTCTGAAGGTGATCTGAAGGAAACGTCCCCGATGCGTTTTCACGGTGTTCATGTATTTAACGCTGTCCTGACACGGCTGAATTACTCGGAACATACTCTCTGTTCCAGGTAAGACCCCAGGGAGACTGTCTTAACACGTTTGTGTGTTTGCACTTTTGATACTGATGCAAAAGTTTAATGTGTGCACATTTTTTTACAGCATGATAATAATGAAGTGGTAAAGCACCACAACACAAATATTCTTTTGATGATATATTGTTTTGGATCCCTGATGTTCATATCTTTTTCTGTTCTATTGGATCTAAAAGTGGAAAATGAGTAAAAGTAACAATCACAAAGATGATTTTTAGATTCTGATGGTTTATAAGCATCAGCTGCAGGTTATTGCTGTCGAGATAAATCAATATTTTTAAACATCTCCGCCAATTATAATTGGTAAAATACTATTTAGTTTATTTAGCACTGTCCAGACATGACTAGATCACTTGGGATGCATGTTAGTGCAAAGTGCAAATGGGGTCAGAGTTCAGAGTGTAAAGCATAGAAACTTTAGTACTCTATTCAGCCTTCCTGTTGTTGAGTGTTTGCTCTCTCTTTCACCGTTTTGAACTCTGACGAGACGTAAAAATACACTCCTTTTAAAAAGCTTCCTAAATCTCTGTGCTTCGTCTGACTTCCCTTGTAACCACCTCCCTGATACCGAAAGTCGCTTAATTTGCATTTTTTCTCTATCAGCATCCACACTGAACAGTTGCTGGCTAGATTGAGCTGAGCTAAGGTGGGGATTACACTGATGGAATAAAGATTGGTCCAAACATTACATCCTGCCCTCGGCAGGATTTATTGTACACACGTGACTGTTGCAATCCTACCAGGAAAAAAAAAAAAAAAAGACCAATATGGATTCCCATAATGCTCCGCTCCAGTTGGTGTCTCGGCTCGGGTTTTGGTTTCTCCGTCTTTTATCGTTGAGGTCATCTGCAGATCATTCACTTAAGTTGCATGTGTGGCTGATGATAAAGGGGAAGAGAACTGCGACGCACTTGCGCAGCTGATATTGAATAAAAGCATACTGTAGCTTGTAAGTAGCGATGAAGCTCGTTTAGTCACGCTGATAATGATGACCTCATCTTACCAGGAAGCTGTTAATCAGTGAATCAGCCCTCGGAGGTGTCTGAAAGGGAGGCGAAGCTAAGCTGCTCCATATTTCTGCTCTTTGATTTTATGTACGGAGTTTATATAAGCTTCATTTTTCTCCTTTCAAACATCCACCCAGGAGTGTTGTTGTATTAGTGTTGCTCATCTTCGCTGGCGCTAAGAGGCTGCTAGTCATCAAAGGCTTTGTGGCCTGAAACCACATAGGCAGCTACGCATTAAATTGCTAATGTGCCCAGCAGAGCCACGTTATCCGTCCCATCGACGTGACAGGGGCATGGATGAACCGATCTGTTCAGCTGTCCATGAGATCAATGGAAAATGGGTTTTGCGGATTCTGCTTGGCACTGAGCAGAGTCGTGCCTTTAGAGACTTTGCTTTGAATTGGCTTTGTTTATGCCTCGCTGATTTGACAACCGCTGAACAATGAGGCTGAAGAACCTGACCAGTTCCATCTACTTCCAGAGCGTCTCTGTGGAAGCGCTCGCACACCTGGCTGACCCCATTTCATGCTATCTTGCGTTCTAGGGTTATATTTATTTGTTTTTGCCAGCTGCATGTTTCCCCTACATATGGGGAAACATGCCCCATACGTAGGGGTTTCTCATAATTTTGAGGTCATTAGATCATCTGCATGGACATCCGGCAAGTTGATGGAGAAATTTAAGTTTTGTTCTTCCATAAGAGTGAGCTACTATGTCTGCATTTTCTTTTGAGTAGCTCCAGTTGCAGGTAGGGTGGGCTATTCTGTCAGTGTCGGAGCCTCAGGTTGTTGAGGAATATGATTGCCAGCAAAAGCCCAAAGGAAAAGCACTATTCACAGATTTTACTAGCCTTTCACAATACTACTTCTACTTTTGTTGGATTTTTGATTACTTTAAATAGTGTTTTGTTTTGTTTCCTTTACTCAAATTAAGTGTTGCCTGTGGCTGCTTTCTGTTTTATTGCGAGGTAAAGTTGTAGAAGTTCATAACAAAATAAGAACGTCATCATGTTACGAGCTGCTTTTCTGATCCATCCATCTGTAGCTGTTTAACTGTGAAGATGGACGCAGTTAAACAGAGCCATGCTGGAAAGAAAAACTGGGAGTTTTAGAGAAGAGAACAGGGCTTCCTGTGAATTTGTTCTGCTGACTAGCTGCTAAAATATCCTAGCTAGCTTGCCATTTTGTGTTTATCATGAACAAGTGCAAATTTGTATCTACTATTACATGACTTTGTCTTAAATTTCATTCATAATGGTCTTAGTAAATATCTTAAGTCTTACATTTGAGTTTATGAAACTTGCAGAAACTCTGTATTAGCTACGGCGTACATGAAGCATCGACGTTGGTGGATAGCATGTGCTAACGAGTGTGTGTCGTCGTTGCATCAAAGGCAATAAGTCGGTACTGTTTGAGTGGGCAGGAGTCTGTCTGGAAAGTGCTGACTCAGAAAGCAACAGGGAGGTTGAATAAATGTGAGCTCATCAGATGGAGTGCGGTGACATTTGCGGTGGTAAAGTGGCAAAATCCGGAGAACTTTGACAGGTGACCGTATATTCGGTGTGAGCGTTTCTTCAGCTTGACTGAGGATAATGATATAAAATAAGCTTCTTTTGCAGAGATCAGCAGCACCTTGATCTCCTCAGCGCAGCATTACCTCATGGGATGATTAAATAAGACTAGATGAAATGTGAATCAAAGAATTTCTCTGGTGTAGAAGAGCTTTTTCTTCACAGACAAGGTTACACTCACTCTGTTGTACACCTCCCAGGTAATTGGCCTTTAGCTGACTCCTCTCTGTCTTGCACCTGGAGTATTTTCCACCATCCGTTTTAGCCTGTGCTCAAACCACAATGCATCCCAAATTAATTAGCTGTGTGGCGGAGGAGCTGCCGCTGAGTTCCTCCGTTTTCTTCGGTGGCAGTTTTCAGAAGACTGTCGGCTCTTTCTCTCAGCTGCTTGACAGCGTTCCAACCCCCTCCCGACTTACCTCAACTACGGTTTGACTTGGGTCATGTTTTAAGTGAGAACGCTGACATTTATTCCCACGGCCTGATTGATTTATTGAATTAGGAGGGAAAACCGAAACCTGTTTAATGTCGTCACATCCCGAGTAAAACCGTCTGATCTTCTAACCAAAGCCTGACCTCGGAGCTTTTGGCGTCACTACAAAGGCTCAGCTTGTGAATGGAGGAACTTACTGATCTCACTTCGAACAAATCAAAGCAGCTTAATATTCTTAGATCCTTCTTAAAATCTGAATAAAATAATCTGTTTTGTGTTGCTTCATGTTTTGCTTTCATCTCCGCCTAAGACGATTTGATCCCAACAAGAGCGTGTCAACTACATTCTGCATTACAATAACCCGTTTCTGTTTCTTCTGCTTTTGTTGTGTTGCTTCAGGTTCAACTACAGATCAACCCACCATCTCACCACCAATGGCTTCTACGAGTTCCTCAACTGGTTTGACGAAAGGGCCTGGTACCCCCTGGGCAGGATTGTTGGCGGAACAGTGAGTGTCTGTTTGAAACGAATCAATCGCGCTGTGAAGCTCCGCTTTTCTTCTTCTGTTTATTGCATCCAGCGCTGCATTTAACGATGCCCATAAAGTTGTTTTGACCTGAATTTGTCTGGCTGGGGAAAGTGGGCTCCAGTGCTCTTGTTTTATGTGAGCAGATGAGGCAGGAATGAGATTTCAGAGTAAGGTGTCTACATTTTCTTTTTCCTTCTGGAAAAAGAAAAGTGGACCAGAGTTTTGCTTCTCCATATAACAATATCATGAAGTTTTCTCTGCCCTAAAAAAAAAAAAAAGTTACTGCAATATTTCTGTCATTGTCGATTTGTTTTTATAACCAGGGTTCCTATGGAGTCCAGAAAAGTAGAACAGTTGTTTAAATTATTTTCCAGGCATGGATTAAGTATGGAAGAAAAAAAATATTAGTGGAGAGAAATATGTGTATTTCCATACTTTATTGGCTCACCCACCTGTTTTAAATGTAGGGTGCTTCCTTCATGTTCATCTTTTTGTGTACCAGTTTCTCTTTTCTCTCGTTTTTTTTCCTTCCTTGTTTTCTTTCTACTTTCTCCCTTGTCATCTTTCCTTGCATTCCTTTTTCTTCCTTGCAAAACTGTGAAAAATGCATTCACAGAGAGATATTAACATCTGTATCAAAAGATGTTAATGACCTTGATTCTTACTCTAACTGAATCAGATGAAGCTTAGAAATAGCTTTCGGTGAGTCAAATGGCTACTTCCAGTGTAAAAAGTAAGATCATTTGTATCAAATCTTCATATTGTTTAAAGATTTAAATGTAGTTGGAAAAGTGAGGAAAAATCTTTGTCCCCTTAAAAAAAAAAAAAAAAAAAAGAAAAGTTTGAAGTTTGATTCCAAGAAGTCAGATCTTGTTCTTGGCAACATTTTGTAGGGTTTTAAATATCTTTGAAAGTGTTTCTTTGTGACATTTTTCATGAAGGCTTTTAAAAAGTAGCAAAGCTAAAACAATAATTTTGTCTCGGATGATGTCGTGTCATAATTCCTTAGACAACATGCTTAAGTTTTTGCCCCAAAACTATTCTAGACAGGGTGGGGGATTTGCATTTTCTCTTTTTGTTTTCTTTTATTTATTTTTTTATTTTAGATGGATGTACAGCTCTGTTTCACATGGTTAGAATAGGAGTCTGGCACCAGCAAATGCTATTAGTTGCAGACATGACATCCGGTAAATGGCTCAGCTAAAGTATGTTGCTTTTCCTTGCAATATTTTCTGATTTCTTAAGAGCAAGGCTTTTAGATGCGGTTAAGTTGTTGTACAGTTTTATTAGCCTGCTGCTGCTTCATTTGTCCTTGTGAAATTTCCTAAACTGTTTTTATTGATGTGCTTCAAACTCTATTGAGATATTTTGTTTTTATCTAAGTGCTCTTTGGGGAGCTTTTTGTTGGTGCAGAAACTCCATTTTAACAAGACCAAATGGTGTTTTTTTATGTTCTGGAGTTGTTTTCTTTTTATGAAAGCAATGGGGGAGGGGGGAGGGGGGGGGGGGGGCAAAGTTTTTTTTTTTTTTTTTTTTTGACAGTCTGCTTGTGAAAATGCCGTCAGACATCCAGGTATCGGACTTGAGCGAAAAAACAAAACAGCAGCAGAGTTCTTTGAAAGGCTTGAAGTGGTATTGCTGAAAACCAGATAAGTCTGTTTTCTTGGAAATCTAAATAATTCAGAGGTGGGTCAGACACTTTTCACAGAGCTGAACAGCACATTCATTCATTCATTCAGGCATTGTTTAGGATACATTTCTATAAGCCAGCTAGTATACGCACTCTTCTATCATATGTAATCAAATCTGAATAGACAGACATGCATTTAAAACCATATATTTATTCACACTCTTTAAACCTTTTTTCCTCGGTTTATGCTGCATCAGTCTGAGCCTTTTGCATTTAGGTAAGTTAGGAATAAAATAATTTCTATGCCAGTAAAATAAGAGAACATCTTTTAGAGATTTCTTTGTTGCATTTTTCATGTTTAGATGTTGGCATACACCACCAGCACTGCTGCTTCAAGCAATTTGGGGTCATCCAGATGATATCATGTCAAGTAAATATTTAATTATTTTATTTGTAATGTTTGAGTTTATTTGAAAGAATACACGTGTATCTGGTTTATCATAGATCATACTTCCCAAATGCCTGAAGGTGCCACAATTTGAAACATTTATACCAGTGGTTCTTATCCTTTTTTGAGGTACCAAACGCCCCAGTTTCATATGCGCATTCACCGAAGCCCCACCCCCCTCGACACAGAAAATAATTAGCGGTATTCTGATTTATTAATGTAATTATATTAGTTGTATTACCTCCCCCACGCCACTAGAGGCAGTACCAACCCCGAAAAGATGTGACTAAGGAGCAGATTTAGACTATATAATTTGGTAAAAACGGTGAGCTTTACTGAAGTAATTAAAGACACAAGTTCAAATCCATGCTGTGAGTGGAACTCCTTCCCGCATCACTGATTGGCTAAGCAATGTAACGTGATCCTCTGGAGCAAGTGATGGCAAAATGGGGCGTCATCACGACTTTACACAAGAGTGTCTTTACCTCTCTGGCAGAGGCTCCGCCGAACCCCTGAGACCGACTCACCGAACCCCCGGGGTTCGATCGAACCCAGGTTAAGAACCACTGATTTATACCATTTAGAGGCTGAAGCTAAACTTGTCGCTTGAGTTCTTGGTAAAATATATTTAAAAACAGTTTTTTTTTTTTTTTATTATCCTAAATGCAAAATACACATATTTGCTGTACAGTTTTGGCTTAATTACTGCTCTGGCTGTGTTGTATTTGCCAGTTAAATGACACAGTATAACTTGTTATAACAATTGACAAACAAAATGTCAAACTTCTGAATTTGAGGAGTGATACAAAACATTATCTGGGTTGTGCTTTGGAGGAAGGATAATTCATCATTGCAATAACTGGCTACATGGTAGCTTCGTTTTATCCAAAAGTCCAGTGCAGCGTTTGTTAAAGTGAAATTTTCCACTGAGCACAGCAGCCTGACATCCCCCTCTCATCTTTTCACTCGTGTTTGTGACCAACACCGCGCTGCTTTGGACTAAGCAACCCTCCGCAGGAGAGAGGCTTTTAGGTCACAATAGGTAATGTGATTAATCTGCATTATATTATATTAACGAAGTCACGATCCAGTTGTGATGAAATAACTCTGCGGATTCCCCTCGGTTGCCACGGCGTCCCTGCTTCACATCAACAGCCACTGTGTTGAAGTCCTTTTATGAATTCAGCATGTTGTTTCTTGCTTTCAGTCTTCTTCGCAATTTGCTCTCCTGACATCAACTCGACAACCAGCGAGCTACGAGGCTCATCTGTGTTAAATACCTCAGGTCTATCCATCTCCCTCCATCTATTACAACGCCACCTGCTACCTTTCTTTCCCACCGCGTTTCATGGACGCAGCGAGGTTACGCTCTTGAGCTCTAATTGGACTCCTTAATGATGCAGCAGGAGTTTATAATCTAAAGTCCTCAGTGCAAGATAAATGTGAAAACGTTTCCCAACGTCTTGGCAGCACCGAGTCCATCTCAAACGATGAGATGGAGCCTTGCAATCGGACTTTCTAGCATCGTTTCCTCACATTAAGATGGTGAGGCATGCTAATGGTGTTCATCACCGAGCTGGCGTTACTTTTCAACAATCAGATATAGTCGGGATGTATACTGACATTTTCCCCATAGTGTGTGAGAAACTCTCAAAGAGCTGGAATCCAAAGGTCCTCATTTGTTGTGAGAGGTTATAATCAGCTATTGGTAATTGCATTTGCAAAGCAATCTAATAATAGATTTATTGGTTCTGTTACAGTTCATGGCTACTTGGTTTAGGTCTTTGTTCCCACAGGGCTCAAGCTGAAACTCGTGATTAGACAGGTAATTAGAATTAGAACATGTTTAGTCCCAATTTAATTTTCATGATATTTGCAGACCGTCTTTGTCGCACAGCGAGCTATTTTCTTTTGCAGAAATTAAACAACTAGTGCCTTGTTTCCATGCTGCACAGTTTTATTCATACGTCTAATTTCTTCTTGGAAAGAATTGCTGAATAATTTACACATTAATCATGTGGAGCAGATTAGTTTGTGCTGGACTGATCTCTGCACAAATTTAGTTGAGCATTAAAAGTATTTTCCTTTTTCTCTAGGACATTTAAAATTAGCATGCAAGGTAGAGGACATTCAGACGTGGGGTTTAGAATGTAGAAGAGAGCTCTTGCTCTTATCCATTTATCATTCATTAATATTAGGGATGTTCTTGCTTTGGAAAATGGCCTTCAGCAGTTAAACTGACGTTTTGGCTGAACATAAAAATGTACTGTTAGTTTAAACAAGGACGTGCTTTTGTTTTTGTAATGTCCCGATACTGCTCTGAAACAATACTCTGACTTAATATTGCATTAAAGGTAATGAAGTCAATCAATGCTAAGTTTAATCTAAAAACAATTTAGCTTTATAATGCAGTAAAATAAAAATATAATCAGTGTGCTGTCATGGCAGCTTAAGCGTTAGTGTTTTAGTAAGTAAACCAAGCCTAACTTTATTTAAAAAACAAAAGACTAAAAACAATCTTTTAAAATGAGCTAAAATAAATGTTTTGTATTTTCATAAGATGTTATAAATTAGACAACATGGATGTATGTTTTGTTGTACCAAATTAAAAGAAAACTCACATTGGCTGCTTAGGGGCATCAGGTACATAACTCAAGCAACAAAATAAGTTCAAACAAAGGCTATGCGTCAACCGATAAACATATTACATATTTACATAATGGAGAAAGCCTTGTCTAAATGACAAACACTTTCTACCACAACAAGATGACATTTCCACACTAAGAAGCTAAATGAAGTGATGCCTGATGGTTTTCAGCCTTTTCTGTCTCCCTAACAGTGTCTAACTCTGTGATTTTACATTCCATCGCTTTACAGCAAATTAATTTGCCTTGCTATGTT